GCCACCGAATGTACAGTCCCAAAAACAATTAGACACATACTTATGTAATAAACAGGGAAGAGCATCCTAGCGTTCTATCAGACATCTCACATTTAATTTATTCAAGATTATATATACACGAGTATAATTATCTTATAAAATCTGCGTAATTTGCTTTTACAGAAACAAAAGAGATTGAAAGGACCAGACAGCAGGTCATATAACAACCTATTTAAAAAATATAAATCACAGTCAATGTATAAACAAAAATTATAATAATACAATGTATAAATATATATATAAGACTTTTTGACATGATACAATTTCCAACATGATACAATTTGCCAAAGATTCTTTTGAAATTATTAACAACCATTCATTTCTGAAACTGAAAATTATGTATACATTATATAAAACAACAAAAGGCTAAATGAGAGTTATTCCTCCACATTTCTTTTTATCTAGTTTACAATTAAAAAAACAAGTCTAAAAACACAGACAACGAAAAATTATAATTTCAAAACTGAACAACATTCATGTAGCTTAAGTATATACATAATGTACATGTAAAACAAAAGTAACATTCTTCTTTTCTTTTAAATGTGTTCATGAACTTTGAGCAATTATCATCAAATCTTTATATAGAAACAGTGACCTTGACCTGTCAATAATAAACCTCTAATTTAATTCCAAGTATACATGTTTATAAGCTACTCATCACTGTGTAATCTAATTCCATGTATACATGTTTATAAGCTACTCATCACTGTGTAATCTAATTCCATGTATACATGTTTATAAGCTACTTATCACTGTGTAATCTAATTCCGTGTATACATGTTTATAAGCTACCCATCACTGTGTAATCTAATTCCAAGTATACATGTTTATAAGCTACTCATCACTGTGTAATCTAATTCCAAGTATACATGTTTATAAGCTAAACATCTCTGTGTAATCTAATTCCAAGTATACATGTTTATAAGCTACTCATCATTGTGTAATCTAATTCCAAGTATACATGTTTATAAGCTACTCATCACTGTGTAATCTAATTCCATGTATACATGTTTATAAGCTACCCATCACTGTGTAATCTAATTCCATGTATACATGTTTATAAGCTACTCATCACTGTGTAATCTAATTCCAAGTATACATGTTTATAAGCTACTCATCACTGTGTAATCTAATTCCAAGTATACATGTTTATAAGCTACTCATCACTGTGTAATCTAATTCCAAGTATACATGTTTATAAGCTACTCATCACTGTGTAATCTAATTCCAAGTATACATGTTTATAAGCTACTCATCACTGTGTAATCTAATTCCAAGTATACATGTTTATAAGCTACTCATCACTGTGTAATCTAATTCCAAGTATACATGTTTATAAGCTACTCATCACTGTGTAATCTAATTCCAAGTATACATGTTTATAAGCTACTCATCACTGTGTAATCTAATTCCAAGTATACATGTTTATAAGCTACTCATCACTGTGTAATCTAATTCCAAGTATACATGTTTATAAGCTACTCATCACTGTGTAATCTAATTCCAAGTATACATGTTTATAAGCTACTCATCACTGTGTAATCTAATTCCAAGTATACATGTTTATAAGCTACTCATCACTGTGTAATCTAATTCCAAGTATACATGTTTATAAGCTACTCATCACTGTGTAATCTAATTCCAAGTATACATGTTTATAAGCTACTCATCACTGTGTAATCTAATTCCAAGTATACATGTTTATAAGCTACTCATCACTGTGTAATCTAATTCCAAGTATACATGTTTATAAGCTACTCATCACTGTGTAATCTAATTCCAAGTATACATGTTTATAAGCTACTCATCACTGTGTAATCTAATTCCAAGTATACATGTTTATAAGCTACTCATCACTGTGTAATCTAATTCCAAGTATACATGTTTATAAGCTACTCATCACTGTGTAATCTAATTCCAAGTATACATGTTTATAAGCTACTCATCACTGTGTAATCTAATTCCAAGTATACATGTTTATAAGCTACTCATCACTGTGTAATCTAATTCCAAGTATACATGTTTATAAGCTACTCATCACTGTGTAATCTAATTCCAAGTATACATGTTTATAAGCTACTCATCACTGTGTAATCTAATTCCAAGTATACATGTTTATAAGCTACTCATCACTGTGTAATCTAATTCCAAGTATACATGTTTATAAGCTACTCATCACTGTGTAATCTAATTCCAAGTATACATGTTTATAAGCTACTCATCACTGTGTAATCTAATTCCAAGTATACATGTTTATAAGCTACCCATCACTGTGTAATCTAATTCCATGTATACATGTTTATAAACTACCCATTACTGTGTAATCTAATTAAAAGTATACATGTTTATAAGCTGTCTATCACTGTGTAATCTAATTCCAAGTATACATGTTTATAAGCTACCCATTACTGTGTAATCTTATTCAAAGTATACATGTTGACAAGCTACTCATCACTGTGTAATCTAACTCCATGTGTACATGTTGATAAGCTACCCATTACTGTGTAACCATGGCATTGTCACTATATAGCCTCTTTGAAAGCTGTGTTGTTGATGGGACTTTAATTACCATGCATCACGAGACACAATTCTTAGCGTATTAATACAACACTGACCGGAACTACAATATCCAATATAAATAAACATGACGGCTGCTGAAATATCGCTGGGCATTATGAGATTTGACAATGTCATTGTAAATTAATGTGCAAAATAAAAAATAAAATAAAAAACACTTTTATTACAACGAAAACAAGACCAAGGTCTGCAATATCGTACAAAATGCATATTGGTTGAAATCGCCAATGACGGCAATGGAAACAATTTTAACGCGCATGCAATTTATCAGAAATATCGTCTGTTACACTGCACTGATCTACAGGGGTTCGTTACAATTGTCTATATTCTATAGACCTACTGCACACATAAACATTTCAGACATTTGTAACGAACCTGTGCTTCGTCGCAAGATCAAACGCTATCAGTTTCAAGCGTCTCGCATCCACAGTTCCTCAGTTTCTGACGACATGTCAAGTAACCAGATTGTTATAGGATCTACCGACTGTTGTCGGGTTCCCATACAATCAACAAATACATTCACGCCTGGATTCTTCACAAAACGAGCAAAGAGAAAAGTTTGAATTAACTTCCAAAAATAACTCCCTCATTGAGGGCAAGGTCGGATTTACGGTGTTCACTGTATTTGTCCATGCGCGAAATTAAATCACCATATAGACATATCATACGCAATTGTATTGATACTGAATTGTGGAATAAAATTGAAGTGTTTGTTAAAATTTCAAAGTACTACTTTGTTTGCCAACCAGCACGCGACAATACGCTGTTCAAACTATTGAACGAAATTGTGTGGACTGTTGATAAGGCGGGCATTTTTAATTTTAAATATAAATTATAAGTTAAAAAAGAAGATAAGAGGCAGAGAAAACGTAAATATAAGTATTGAACTGCTTTTGTATGGTATTTATGATCTATTTGAATGACACAGCTTTGCCAGCAAACAAAAAATAATGCGCTAGCGCGCATTATGTTGTTTGCTTGCAAAGCTGTGTCATTCAAATAGATCATAAATACCATACAAAAACAGTTCAATGCTTAAGTATACATGTTTATAAGCTACTCATCACCGTAAGTGTGTTATTGGTCTTAGTACCCGGGTGGTCTGATAGATATAGGCTCTCGCCAACATCGGACATGAAATGGTGTTAGGTCACCTGCCAGACCAGATTTTATTTTGGTTATCTCTGGATATTCCGTTTTCCTCCCACATTAAGACACTTTTCACGACAAATTTGTTTCATTATTGTTAACTTGTTATACAGATACAGTTTAAATTTATTTATTTGTTGGTACTCTCTAAGCCAAATCAAATTTTAAAATTCAAGATCAGAAGTAGTTGTTACTTTGTTTGAAATAACAATAACCCTGATAGGAAATTTAAGACAAATAAATTAAATGATGTCTCACAGTTAATAATGATGTCTCACAGTTGATAATGCTGCACACATCACATAACGCCCTTCTCCATACAATACCATATCATTTTTTTATATGACGTCATAGATTCTCATAATACTGAGTCAGGATCATATGAAGAAGTTTACAGTGACAGCTTACAACAGTCTAGTAACATAACCAAGTTTGATTTCTTCAATAATTTTATTGACAACATTCTTGATAGTGGAATGATTATAAGTATGAATGCTACCATTGAGACCCCAATTTGAATTCTACAATATATATCTCTTTCTAAGTAATAAGGCACAGCAAACTGTGGGATTATCCCCTGTGCCCTGAAAAACAGCTAGACGGCCACAGAAACAGACATACATACAAATCAACAATATAACTGTGTTCCATCACCTTATCTTCTGTCTTTTACTGTTTATGTTTTTCAAAACACTACGGTTATAGGGACGGTAAAACACAAAATGGTAACAAAAGTCACCACTAGGGCACTAGTCTGATGTTTGCACAAGGTTTCATACACATGTTTAAAATAGTTCTCAAGTTGAATCTAGGAATCATTACCTTTTGTATTTTGGGGCATTTGCTTCCATATGGTAACAGGAAAGATGTTGAAAATGAGAATCTCCCAAAAGCTAAAGACACGACTACAGGACTAGCCTGATATGTGTACAAGCTTTCCTGGAATAGTCTGAATGGTTCTAGAGTTATTGTCTAGTAAAGATTAGAAACACTGAATTGTATAATGGTTCTAGAGTTATTGTCTGGTAAAGATTAGAACCATTATACAATTCAGTGTTTCTAATCTTTACCAGACAATAACTCTAGAGCCATTATACAGTTCAGTGTTTTCCAATCTTTACCAGACAATAACTCTAGAACCATTATACAGTTCAGTGTTTCCAATCTTTACCAGTCAATAACTCTAGAACCATTATACAGTTCAGTGTTTCTAATCTTTACCAGACAATAACACTGAACTGTATAATGGTTCTAGAGTTATTGTCTGGTAAAGATTGGAAACACTGAACTGAATAATGGTTTTAGAGTTATTGTCTGGTAAAGATTAGAAACACTGAATTGTATAATGGTTCTAGAGTTATTGTCTGGTAAAGATTGGAAACACTGAATTGTATAATGGTTCTAGAGTTATTGTCTGGTAAAGATTGGAAACACTGAATTGTATAATGGTTCTAGAGTTATTGTCTGGTAAAGATTGGAAACACTGAATTGTATAATGGTTCTAGAGTTATTGTCTGGTAAAGATTGGAAACACTGAATTGTATAATGGTTCTAGAGTTATTGTCTGGTAAAGATTGGAAACACTGAATTGTATAATGGTTCTAGAGTTATTGTCTGGTAAAGATTGGAAACACTGAATTGTATAATGGTTCTAGAGTTATTGTCTGGTAAAGATTGGAAACACTGAATTGTATAATGGTTCTAGAGTTATTGTCTGGTAAAGATTGGAAACACTGAATTGTATAATGGTTCTAGAGTTATTGTCTGGTAAAGATTGGAAACACTGAATTGTATAATGGTTCTAGAGTTATTGTCTGGTAAAGATTGGAAACACTGAATTGTATAATGGTTCTAGAGTTATTGTCTGGTAAAGATTGGAAACACTGAATTGTATAATGGTTCTAGAGTTATTGTCTGGTAAAGATTGGAAACACTGAATTGTATAATGGTTCTAGAGTTATTGTCTGGTAAAGATTGGAAACACTGAATTGTATAATGGTTCTAGAGTTATTGTCTGGTAAAGATTGGAAACACTGAATTGTATAATGGTTCTAGAGTTATTGTCTGGTAAAGATTGGAAACACTGAATTGTATAATGGTTCTAGAGTTATTGTCTGGTAAAGATTGGAAACACTGAATAGTCTGAATGGTTCTAGAGTTATTGTCTGGTAAAGATTGGAAACACTGACTTTTATAATGGTTCTAGACTTATTGTCTGGTAAAGATTGGACACACTGAATTTTTGGCTCATTGTTTCTATTGAATCAGAAAAGATATTGAAAATAATAATTCCAAAATAGGAAAAAACACAAGAGCAAAAGTCTGATGTATGTACCAAGTTTTATAGAGATATGCGAAACAACTTTCAGGTTCTGGCCTGGAAAATCAAAGAAACAAGATTTTTGTAGTTTTGGGTATTTGTTTCCATGATAACAGGAAATGAATTGAAAATAATAATTTCCTAATAGCACAAGGCAGTATCAGGACTCCAGCCTGATAGATGTACAAAGTTTCATGGATATGTGGGAAGGTTTTGGAGCTGTTGCTCGGAATGCACAAACAGTTTGATGTATAGAGCCCATCTAATATCCCCTACAAGTGTTTTTTGTGAGGTATAATTATATTTCAAATAGGTAAGTAATTTTTTAAAACAAAAACTGTATCTGGCACACTGAAAATTAAGACTAGAAATGTATTTTCTTTTCAGATATGTCTCTTTGGAAAAAACCAGGGGTCCGTAATATCAATGTTTGGAGGTAGAAATGTCATCAAACAAAAACTTGTTAGAGAAATACATTGAAAAACAACCCAAACAAGTGACCAAGTCATAACCTTCCCAAACTAACGAATCGTCACTGGAATAAATCAATCATCAGTTGACTAAAATTGTTATTTTTTTGGGACAATACTTTAAAAACAAAAACAATTGTCATGCTTATTCATAAAACTGATTGTAGAAACGTGTCAAGAAAGGCCAGCTGTTTAAGTAAATTGAAATAAGAATAACATCACCATTAAAAGTGTACGACTCATGCAAAAGGTGCTTCATCAAGACTGTATTTGTATATATGAAATGTGAAAAATGTAAAATTCTGATTAAGATGTTTTTGGAATAAATAAAATAAATATATAAATATAATTATAAAGATACATCAAGAAAGCATGAGCATAGACCTGGGCAGCAAACTAGTGACAATAAACACCCCTGACTGTGTAATGTATAGTTTAAAATTCTGGTCAAAATATTCTGTAATAAACATGAGAAAAATATACACAGAAAGTCTAGGAAAAATCACAATACCAACCTCATCATCAAGGCAACCAACCGGTGATTTACATCAAGTTCATGACATTGTATGATTCAACATGAAGAATATGATTCGACATCATATCACCAAGGTGACAAGTGATTCAATATCACATAGGTGACAAGTGATTCTATATCATCTAGGAGACAAGTGATTCTATATCACCAAGGTGACATGTGATTCAATATCACCTAGGTGACAAGTGATTCTATATCACCTAGTATCCAAGTGATTCTATATCACCTAGGTGACATGTGATTCAATATCACCAAGGTGACAAGTGATTAAATATCACCTAGGAGACAAGTGATTCAATATCACCAAGGTGACATGTGATTCAATATCACCAAGGTGACATGTGATTCAATATCACCAAGGTGACATGTGATTCAATATCACCTAGGTGACATGTGATTCAATATCACCAAGGTGACAACTGATTCCATGTCACCAATGTGACAAGGAATTCTATGTCACCCAGGAGACAATTGATTCAATATCACCAATGTGACAAGTGGTTTAATATCACCAAGGTGACAAGTGATTCAATATCACCATGGTGACAAGTGATACCATATCACCATGGTGACAAGTGATTCTATATCACTATGGTGGCAAGTGATTCTATATCACCATGGTGACAAGTGATTCCATATCACCATAGTGACAAGTGGTTTAATATCACCAAGGTGACAAGTGATTCAATATCACCTAGGTTACACATGATTCAATATCATATCACCAAGGTGACATGTGATTCAATATCACCTAGGAGACAAGTGATTCAATATCACCAAGGTGACATGTGATTCAATATCACCTAGGTGACAAGTGATTCTATATCACCTTGTATCCAAGTGATTCTATATCACATAGGTGACATGTGATTCAATATCATCCTACAGGTTACTATGACAACTTATGATCCTTACTATCGGAGGTTTATCGTGGCAACATTTCCTCCATGTCTGCCACTGTAAATGCCACCACTGCCCACACAGCAGCACATAGGTTCATTTCTCCAGGATTCTGGACTGTCATTGTGTCGCCTACAAAAAAAGCAGAGTGGGAAAAAACATACATTTTTTGCTTTTGTTTTTATCCATGTCCTTAGGAAAAGGTCAATCTTGATCTCAGTTGCTGATTTGATATAGTCCAATAAATACTTAACTTATGATTATAGTTTTTTCTCTGAAAACAACTTGGCCCATAAACACCCTTAGTTGCTAATAGTCCTGCAGTGGAACTGGACTGGGAAAATTGTCGGTGACCAGGTAGCTCAATTGGTAGGTAGAGTGTCTGTCTAGAGTTCAGGTAGAGTGTCTGTCTAGAGTTCAGAGGGTCCTGGGTTCAAGTCCCGGTCTGGCCGTGCATTTTTCTGGCTCCTACTACATTAGGCGGCCAACAAAATATACCAATGGAAGGTGGTATAGCATCTTCAGGGTCGAAGACTTTGATAAAGGAGGGAGAAATGAGGTGAAACTAGATGGGTCGATCGTTGGCGAGCAGACAGTTCCATTGGAGGAGCATCCATCTAAAGTTTGGAGAGTCCCAGGTGTAAACCCTGATCTGGCTGTGCATTTTTCTAGCTCCTACTACAGTTGCATGACAAGGTCAAATCTTTTTCCTCCATACTTGAGTCAAATAGCTTAGCTAACACTTGCCATTCTTATTTGAATAACTGACACTTAATCATCACATCTCTTGACATCAAAAAAGTAATAGGATATTAACAAAGAAACAAGACAACAAAGTCCCAGACATTAACACAAAAACTAGACAACACAGTCCCCTTCCCTGACATTAACACAGAAACTAGACAACACAGTCCCCTTCCCTGACATTAACACAGAAACAAGACAACAAAGTCCCTGACATTAACACAGAAACTAGATAACAAAGTCCCCTTCCCTTACATTAACACAGAAACAAGACAACAAAGTCCCTGACATTAACACAGAAACAAGATAACACAGTCCTCTTCCCTGACATTAACACAGTAACAAGACGACAAAATCCCCTTCCCTGACATTCATTAATACAGAAACAAGACAACAAAGTCCCTGACATTAACACAGAAACAAGACAACAACGTCCCTGACATTAACACAGAGACAAGAAAACAAAGTCCCTTTCCCTGACATTTACACAGAGACAAGATAACAAAGTCCCCTTCCCTGACATAAACACAGAAACAAGATAACAAAGTCCCCTTCCCTGACATTAACACAGAGACAAGACAACAAAGTCCCCCTCCCTGACATTGATACAGAAACAAGACAACAAAGTCCCTGACATTAACACAGAAACAAGATAACAAAGTCCCCTTCCCTGACATTGATACAGAGACAAGATAACAAAGTCCCCTTCCCTGACATTAACACAGAGACAAGATAACAAAGTCCCCTTCCCTGACATTGTTACAGAAACAAGATAACAAAGTCCCCTTCCCTGACATTAACACAGAAACAAGACAACACAGTCCCCTTCCCTGACATTAACACAGAAACAAGATAACAAAGTCCCCTTCCCTGACATTAACACAGAAACAAGACAACAAAGTCCCCTTCCCTGACATTAACACAGAGACAAGATAACAAAGTCCCCTTCCCTGACATTAACACAGAAACAAGATAACAAAGTCCCTTTTCCTGACATTAACACAGAGACAAGATAACAAAGTCCCCTTCCCTGACATTGATACAGAGACAAAATAACAAAGGCCCCTTCCCTGACATTAACACAAAAACAAGACAACAAAGGCCCCTTCCCTGACATTGATACAGAGACAAAATAACAAAGTCCCCTTCCCTGACATTGATACAGAGACAAAATACCAAAGCCCCCTTCCCTGACATTGATTCAGAGACAAGATAACAAAGTCCCCTCCCCTGACATTAACACAGAAACAAGACAACAAAGTCCCCTTCCCTGACATTGATACAGAGACAAAATAACAAAGTCCCCTTCCCTGACATTGATACAGAGACAAAATAACAAAGTCCCCTTCCCTGACATTGATTCAGAGACAAGATAACAATGTCCCCTTCCCTAACATTGATACAGAGACAAGATAACAAAGTCCCCTTCCCTGACATTAACACAGAGACAAGATAACAAAGTCCCCTTCCCTGACTTTAACACAGTGACAAGACAACAAAGTCCCCTTCCCTGACATTAACACAGAAACAAGACAACAAAGTCCCTGACATTAACACAGAAACAAGACAACAAAGTCCCCTTCCCTAACATTAACACAGAAACAAGACAACAAAGTCCCTGACATTAACACAGAAACAAGACAACAAAGTCCCTGGCATTAACATAGAAACAAGACAACAATGCCACTGACATTAACACAGAAACAAGAAAACAAAGTCCCCTTCCCTAACATTAACACAGAAGCAAGACAACAAAGTCCCTGACATAAACACAGAAACAAGACAACAAAGTCCCTGACATTAACATAGAAACAAGACAACAATGTCCCGACCATTAACACAGAAACAAGACAACAAAGTCCCCTTCCCTGACATTAACACAAATACGAGACAACAAAGTCCCTGACATAAACACAGAAACAAGACAACAAAGTCCCCCTTCCCTGACAGTAACACAGAAACAAGACAACAAAGTCCCCTTCCCTGACATTAACACAAATACAAGACAACAAAGTCCCTGACATTAACACAGAGACAAGAAAACATAGTCCCCTTCCCTGACATTAACACAGAGGCAAGAAAACATAGTCCCCTTCCCTGACAGTAACACAGAAACAAGATAACAAAGTCCCTTTCCCTGACATTAACACAGAAACTAGACAACAAAGTCCCCTTCCCTGACATTAACACAGAAACAAGACAACAAAGTCCCCTTCCCTGACATTAACACAGAGGCAAGAAAACATAGTCCCCTTCCCTGACAGTAACACAGAAACAAGATAACAAAGTCCCTTTCCCTGACATTAACACAGAAACTAGACAACAAAGTCCCCTTCCTTGACATTAACACAGAAACAAGACAACAAAGTCCCCTTCCCTCACATTAACACAGAAACAAGACAACAAAGTCCCTGACATTAACACAGTATTAAGATAACAACCTACTTACCATTAGTGTGGTGATAGTAAAAGTATTTAGAAGTATCTAAATATAGACTTGAACCTGGTACACCATGAGACATCCACATATCAATGTCCTCACCGTCAGCCCCAGGTTTTAGTTTAGTAGCGTTGATCGGTTGTAGTAAGTCAAGTACAGACTTCATTATCTTTGTAGCTTCTTCATTACCTGACAGACCAAAATAAACACTGATTAATCAGAGAATATTGATACAATACAACACCATAAGGACACAATCTTAAATGATTAAAATTAATTAAATGTATTGAATACCTGTCTACTAGGCCTGTGTATATCTGGGGAAATTATTTCTTGTTTGTAAGCGTTTTGGTTTAAAGCCTTCACAAAGATAAGTGTTACTTTTTAAATATAGGTAGCAGTTATACTAACATTATTAATTGATTTTCTTTATAAACCTTAAAACTTATGTTAATAGTTATTTACCAGTAAATTGTATCCCATATGGCAGGAAAGTTCCAATATCTGACTCCATTACCATATCAAATTTACCGATGTTCTCCTGGAAATGGAAGAAAAGGAATGAGTAACTCAATTTTCATACAAGTTTATCACATTTTTGTAGTATACATGTGATAGATTAGCAAAGAATAATTTTGTCTTATAAAGTAGTTGTTTAAATAAAAGGCTAATATTTAGCTAACAGGATTATAATGGGGAAAACATTTTCCAAGCAATTTATCAAATTAAATTCCATTGATGAGACAGTTATCTGTCATTTCAACTGACAGCCAAATCTTACTGATAGATGTCAATCTTATGAAGATGATAAAATTAAAATACGAAACATTAATTTTTGAAACTAATTATAAACAGATGAAAATTCACACTTTTCTTTGAAAATGTCATGAAATTTTACAATGGACAACAAAATATTCTGTCAAAGATCACTGAATATTTGTTATCATTGGTATTTTAAACGCTGGTATGCAAAATGACTACTAAGACAATAAATATGAACAGTCCTTCCTAATTAATGCTTTTGGGCTTAATCCTTAACAGGGATTGAATGGTCCTTTAAATCCTCTGTAACAACTAAGGTTTAATATTCTACTTCTTGTATTACCTTGTGAGCCTGGAAGTAAGCTTCAGCTCCGACAGCTCCGATTTCCTGAGGTACAATAAACAGTGACAATGATATTGTTGTAAATTTATAATCAATCTAAATACAAAATTGAAAACCTAAACATCTAAAATGTTACAATGCAGACACTGACAAAGTTTTGGTGGTGTTCAGTGTTTTGGAACTTTTTTTTATCAATGCAGTGCTTTTTTACTTGACACTCTGCCATCCCAAGATTTATTTGCATACCAAATTTGGTTACACAGTTGAAAAGGTATCAAATATGTACCTTGGACAAATTTTCAAAGATTGAGGTCAAAGGTCGAACCTAAGGTCACAGTGAGGTACGTTTTGCACTATGTATTCATTGTGATCACAAACATTACTCCTTAAGATCACAACCACAGGTCTTTTCTTTAGCAGGTAATTCATTTCATGCATAAACTTTTAGTATATTATGTTTTGCAGGAACTTTTTGATGTATTTCAACAAAACTGTTAATATGTGGCCATATACTTTGAATCAGCCACTTTCCTTTCAATATCATCTGTACCACTTGCCTTCCCTGTCACGTCACCTGTATGAATTACCTCTCATGTTCACAAGACTTCCATAACTTTTACTGTTTACATGACCTACATGAACATCATTTACCTCTCCGGTTCATGTTACTTTCTTACTTTTTCTTTGCTACTCTCCCATCCTCCACCCATACATAGGACCTGTATCAGTCTTCTACCCTGTCCAAGTGGCATATATCTTTCATCATTTATCTCCCTTATTGACCAATATATATGTGACCTGTACCATTTTCTTCTCTGACCATGTAACCTGGACTGTTTATCTCCCATGTCAAAGTGACAAGAACCAATTATCCCCCTTGTCAATGTAACCTGTACCAATTATCCCCCTTGTCAATTTAATATGTATAAATTATCTCCCCCTTTATACATGCATGTGACATGTATCATTTATCTCCCCCTATATATGTGACCTGTATCATTTATCTCCCTTATTGACCAATATATATGTGACCTGTATTAAGTATCTCCCCTATCCATGTGACCTGTACAAATTATCTCCCCTGTCCTTAAAAATGCATAACTTACCTCTCCTGTCCACATAACCATCCTCATTGTCCTTTTGGGTTGGAGTCCCAGCTGAGAGATCAAGGACAAAGCCTGACAGAAAGATATGAGGTAAAATGCTTTTGCAATATTTTAAATGTACATGAGAGGAAGGCTATGGCCAAGCATTGTGAATAGTCTGTTGATGTGTAAATTGAACAAATCTTTCACTTTACAGATTTAGAAAGAATCTGTCACTACTTAGTTTGTAGACTTTGCAAAAATACAGGGAAGCCTTATCAAAACTGGGTTTTTTAAAAATATGCCTATAAACATCCATTTTCTGTCTCAATGTAAGAAAATAGTGTGATGTTATATAATTACTATGGTTAATAAGTGAACTTTGATTGAGCGATATAACTGTCAAACATAACATTATGAACTCAGCTGAAATGCTAGTTTTAAAAACAACACTTTCTGTGTTATTTTCTGAAACTGATCAAAAGATTAAGACCATGAATGGTTAACTTTAAACAAGAGACACATGGGCCTCAACAGTCACCTGAGTTATGTAAAAACTGATGTTATCAATGAAAAAGAAATCATTCTGTAACAAAGGTAACTTGAACTATATGGTTATAATGTAAATCAAGTTTGAATATATAATAATATAGTAAATTTCACCCCCCTCCCCAGGGGTAAATGTGAAACTCGAGGGTCATGAAATTCACAATTGTGATAAAGTACCTCAAGACCCTTCCACCTTTGAAGAGTATTGGTTTCCAGCACATTGTCGGACAACAGACAAAAGGCGATTAGAATAGGTCTCTTGAGACTTTGTCTCAGGTGACCTAATAATAATTTTACTTATATTTCTTTATATTGTAAATAGTCTAATAGCATCAACACAACTAGGAACTCAATCCTTTTTAATTCCATTACCTGCCAGGAAATGAAGGCACCCCCACCATCATCCATTGCCCCTTGACCAACGTCCCAGCTGTCCAAATGTCCACTGACCAACACAACCTGTAAAATCCCCAGTGTTGATTTTGTTGTAAAATAAAAGTATGCCAAATTGAAGAACATTTTCTTTAAAGCTTTGATATATTACAAAGTATAGGAATTTACTCAAATTTGTGAAGAAATGTTTGTTCAAATCTCCAGATTATTGAACTTCTGAAAGAATAGTTTATTCAATTTTTTCCCCCTGACTGGTAATTAAAGGACAAACTAATGTTCTAATACATTCCAGGATACCCTCCTGATGTTGTAATACATTCCACCTGAACCCTGATCACAAACAACATAATGACCTTGACCCTAATACTACCATGTCAAGGTTCACATACAGCTACCCCACACAACACAATGACATTTACCCTAATACTACCATGTCAAGGTTCACATACAGCTACCCCACAAAACACAATGACCTTGACCCTAATACTACCATGTTAAGGTTCACATACAGCTACACCACAAAACAGAATGACCTTGACCCTAATACTACCATGTCAAGGTTCACATACAGCTACCCCACAAAACACAATGACCTCGACCCAAATACTACCATGTCAAGGTTCGCATAGGGGTACTTCACACAACACAATGACATTGACCCTAAAACTACCATGTCAAGGTTCACATACAGCTACCCCACAAAACACAATGACCTTGACCTTCATACTACCATGTCAAGGTTTGCATAGAGCTACCTCACACAACACAATGACCTTGACCCTCATACTACCATGTCAAGGTTCTAATACAGCTACTACACACACAACACAATGACCTTGACCCTCATACTACCATGTAAGCTTCTAATACAGCAACTTTACACAACACAATAACCTTGACCCTAATACTACCATGTCAAGGTTCTAATACAGCTACTACACACACAACACAATGACCTTGACTCTCATACTACCATGTCAAGGTTCTAATACAGCTACCCCACACAACACAATGGCCTTGACCCTAATACTACCATGTCAAGGTTCTCATACAGCTACCCCACACAACACAAATACCTTGACCCTAATACTACCATGTCAAGGTTCTCATACAGCTACCCCACACAACACAATGGCCTTGACCCTAATACTTCCATGTCAAGGTTCACATTCAGCTACTACACACAACACAATGACATTGACCCTAAAACTAGCATGTCAAGGTTCACATTCAGCTACTACACACACAACACAATGACCTCGACCCTTATACTACCATGTCAGCTTATAATACAGCAACTTAACACAACACAATGAACTTGACCCTAATACTACCATGTCAAGGTTCTCATAAAGCTACCCCACACAACACAATGGCCTTGACCCTAATACTTCCATCTCAAGGTTCACATTCAGCTACTACACACACAACACAATGACCTCGACCCTTATACTACCATGTCAGCTTCTAATACAGCAACTTAACACAACACAATGACCTTGACCCTAATACTACCATGTCAAGGTTCACATACAGCTACCCCACACAACACAATGGCCTTGACCCTTATACTACCATGCCAAGGTTTTCATACAGCTACCCCACACAACACAATGACCTTGACCCTCATACTACCATGTCAAGGTTCTCATACTGCTACTACACACACAACACCATAACCTTGACCCTAATACTACCATGTCAAGGTTCTCATACAGCTACCCAACACAACACAATGACCTTGACCCTAATACTATGATGTCAATGTTCACATACAGCTACCCCACACAACACAATGGTCTTGACCCTAATACTTCCATGTCAAGGTTCACATTCAGCTACTACACACACAACACAATGACCTCGACCCTCATACTACCATGTGAGCTTCTAATACAGCAACTTTACACAACACAATGACCTTGACATTAATACTACCATGTCAAGGCTCACATACAGCTACCCCACACAACACAATGGCCTTGACCCTAATGTCAAGGTTCACATACAGCTACCCCATACAACACAATGGCCTTGACCCTTTTACTACCATGCCAAGGTTCTCATACAGCTACCCCACACACCACAATTGCCTTGACCCTCATACTACCATGTCAGGTTCCAATACAGCAATTTTACACAACACAATGACCTTGACCCTAATACTACCATGTCAAGGTTCTCATACAGCTACTACACACACAACACAATGACCTTGACCCTCATACTACCATGTCAAGGTTCTCATACTGCTACTACACACACAACACCATAACCTTGACCCTAATACTACCATGTCAAGGTTCTCATACAGCTACCCCAAAAAACAACAATGACCTTGACCCTAATACTACCATGTCAAGGTTCCCATACAGCTACCCCACACAACACAATGGCCTTGACCCTCATACTACCATGTCAAGGTTCTCATACAGCTACTACACACAAAACACAATGGCCTTGACCCTCATACTACCATGTCAGCTTCTAATACAGCAACTTTACAAAACACCATGACCTTGACCCTAATACTACCATGTCAAGGTTCTCATACAGCTACCCCAAAAAACACAATGACCTTGACCCTAATACTACCATGTCAAGGTTCCCATACAGCTACTACACACACAACACAATGATCTTGACCCTCATTTTACCATGTCCCATGTCAAGGTTCGCATATAGCTACCCCACACAACACAATGATCTTGACCCTTTTACTACCAAAGTTCTAATACATCTACCACACATACAACACATTGACATCTACCCATAAAGTATCTTTTCTTGGTATTTTCTTAGATATTTACTATTTAGGGTTCTAAAACATCTTCCACAACATAAATAAACTTGGCCCTCACACTACAATGACATTTGGTTACTTAAACACCTACCACAACAGTCCTATGGACTTGACCCTTTACCTACCCCATCAGTCCAATAGACTTGACCCTTAACCTACCTCATCAGTCCAATAGACTTGACCCCTAACCTATCTCATCATTCCTATGGACTTGACCCTTATCCTACCTCATCAGTCCAATAGACTTGACCCTTAACCTACCTCATCAGTCCAATAGACTTGACCCTTAACCTACCTCATCAGTCCAATAGACTTGACCCTTAACCTACCTCATCAGTCTCATGGACTTGACCCTTAACCTACCTCATCAGTCCAGTCGACTTGACCCTTAACCTACCTCATCAGTCCAATGGACTTGACCCATAACCTACCTCATCAGGATAAGTACTGCCCACCACTTCAGCCACAGTATTCCTTGATTTGACTGGTGGAAGGTTCCGAGCTCCCATCATTAGTTTCACCACAATCTTCTCACCTGAAATGACAATTACAGCTATCACAGCACTAGTTTATAGTCTTAATTCCTTTATTATCATGATTTTCACAAAATTTCTCATGAATGCTCCTTGTCTTTGAAGAGCAAGCTGTACAAAATGTGACTATACACATGCTAAAATACAAAATTCATCATACTTGTCTGTAGCTCAGGCTAGTTCTACAGTTTCTGATGTCACCATTGAAAAAAAGGCTTTCCAGTTTTCAATACATATTTGTGTAATTCAATATTTCTCCCAACCTGGTATTTTTCCAAGCCTCTAAGAGTGGTACTGTCTACACATTAAGCTTTCATTAAGCTTAGAACCCAGAAAAACTACAGCTTAGGAGTGGACAAATTATGTCAGTTATGTTTAAATATTTTCTTGCAGGAGTGTATCATTTCTTACAAAAGCTCCCAGTTAATTATCACTTGCCTCGCTGCTGCATTCGGTCCATCATCTCGGCATCCTCAACTGTAATACATGCTGTTGGAATCTTCTTGACACCATCTGCGTAGTCCTGAAATTACGGGTAACAAGCAAATTCGTGGAATTTATATCCCCTGCTTTCAGGACATATTGAAGGTAAACATTATTGAGGTTAGGTTTACACATGTGAGTAACGTGCTGTTGAGATAGCCTTATCTAATATTTAATAGAGTTATTGAGCGGAAACTGCAGATAATGACTCTGCCAAATGGAGTCTGATTAAAGTGGTCATCAAGATTGGTCAAGCACTTATAAGACATTTAACCCTGGTACCAAGTTTGGAGAAAATCGGTTAACATTTGTTGTAGTTATTTCACGGAAACAAAACACAGCAGATAATGACGTTTTTCGTTATTCAAGGTGCCATAACTCTGCCAAATGGGGTCCGCTGAAAGTGGGCATTAAGCTTGGTCGAGCCCCTAAGACATTTAACCCTGGTACCAAGTTTGAAGAAAGTCAGTTAACATTTGTTGTAGTTATTGCACATAAACAAAGCGTGCAGCAGATAATGATGTTTTTCGTTATTCAAGGGGCCATAACTCGATCTGCCAAATGGGGTCCGCTGAAAGTGGTCATCGAACTTAGCCCAGCCCTTAAGGCATTTGACCAAGTTTGATGTCACTCAGTTCAAACACAGCTAAAACAGAGGTCAGTCAGTTCAGACAGAACAAAGCAGCTACATGAACAAATGAAATCACTCAATAAAAATACAAACTTAAAACGTTTTTTGAAAGATTTAGCTTCAAAACAATCTTCTTACCTGAAATGAAAATTAATAGCTATCACAGTGCTACAAGTTTATATATATAGTCCGATTTCCTCCATTTTCATGATTTTCACAAAATCTCATGAATGCTTCTTGTCAAACTTTATTGTATTTAGTCCTCCTGAAACACTTTAGGATGAAGTGCATTGATTTCTTTTAATTCTGCACACTGAGAATTAGTGTCAAAAGTATGGTGTTCATACTTCTATATATCAGACAAAATGATATCCTGTCATCAGTGTGAGTTATAACATATGTTACCTGCATGCCAGTGTGTGGGCTGTAGATGGACAGAGGGGTGACACTGCGTATGAGTGTGGCCACTGCCCCGTAGACCGCAGCCCTTGCTGCCCCATTACTGCGGTAGTCCACAGACACACTATAGCTTATCCATTCCTGGTTGTACACCACAATCTTCCCCTTCACCTAAGACCAAGTATGCATCATCAATATTTTTCATGTAAAATGTCCCTGTAAAGCTAAGTCATGCATCATCAGTGATATTTATGCAAAATTTATGAACATACTCTCCCCACTTTCCTTAAACTCATTGAAGTTATGTATTTAGTTTTACAATATAGTATAAAATTGATGGGATTACGTTGAAATCCAATTACTATTATTGACATTAAAACTGATAGTCTTGGTTATGTCTTGTTCATACCTGCTTCGCATGTTGATCAAGGTCAGCCCATGACCTTACCACAATGACTTCTGATTGGATGCCATTCTCAGGAGTTCCCACACTAGTACCAAGGCCTAGAAGGGCGAGATCCTTTCTTCTAGGTGACAGCATTTCTGCTGATTCCTGTCCCCTCACCCAGCGTGGAACCTAAAACATCATATCTATACTCATTATACAGTGTATGGGGAACCTACAAAAGCAGATTTAATGAAAGTGGAAATGATGAGCAACAACACCACTGAATCTGGTACAAAATGTAATGTTAGATTTACATCCTACGTAAAAGCAGATTAAGTATGACTGTTAGGGAGTGTTCATGTGTACCTAAACTATCATATCTATACTCAACTATACAGTGTTAGGGAGTGTGAACCTAAACTATCATATCTATACTCAACTATACAGTGTTAGGGCGTGTGAACCTAAAATATCATATCTATACTCAACTATACAGTGTTAGGGAGTGTGAACCTAAAATATCATATCTATTTACTGGTTTTCATGTTTACCATTGGTAATTGTGGTACAGTATATGGTGCCGATCATTTTACAACAGGCAATATTTCTGTTGATTGTAAATTCTAAAAATAACCTATAGTTTTTAAGTATTCCTTACCCAGACTTCTTCTCCGTGGACATTTTTCAGACCATCCTCTTTCAGTTTGTCCAGCATGTAGTCTGTGACAAAATAAAGCGACATATAATTTACTGACAGTTTAAACTATTATAGCACATGTCATAGCCTAATCCTGACACCTAGCACAATATAATTCCTTTAAATGGGTATATAAAGATTTAAATAGAGATTTTGTAAAATATTTAATTTTCTTGACATAATTTCATTTGTCAAAATGAGCACTAGTGACAGGAATGTTTTGCAAAAGCCCTCGTGTAGACTGTATGAAGCATACCTTTTGCAGACTGTATGAAGCGAACAGAACTTAGTTTTCATTGTAACTTGATAACATGTAACAGACAATATTTTGATCACTCGTACCAAGATACATCTGTATAAGTCTTACCTATGGAATCCTCTAGGTTTTGTGAGCCAACCTGTCGATTGCCAAACTTGTCCACAAACGTAGCTAGTCTGTTGTAGGACTGATTTGCAGCAGGGCCATGCACAGACCTCTCTATAATCTGGTCAGCAATTGCTATTAAAATATCAAAATCTCATCATGTCAAGTCTATATATGCTGTTTTATTTTATTATAGCATATGAAACGAAGATATATAACTTGGCAGTTAATTTCATCAAAAAACTGCAGTGAATATGTTTGCAAAATAGACAATGTCAATCCAAAATCAATGCAACCTGGGATCAATGTTAAAACATTATAAATTAAGTATCTCTTTAGTGTTTATCTGTAAGAAATGAGTCCATTTCTACTCTTTACTTAGCCACAGTACAGTACGTTATATATTCGTATTAATATCTGACCTCTATAGCCCTGGATCTCTTGTATCCAGTCCTCCAGGGGGCGCTTTTTGTTTCCAGGTAACAATCTCCCTGGAGATACTTTGAAAATATCTTCAAAGACCTTTGACCTTTCAAACTTAAGAACAGCACCATATGATGGACTTGGGTGATTGATAACTGTAAAGATAGCATGCTTTCATCAGATATTTAAACCTTGTATAGTTATATTCCAATAGATCATTTCATTTTAAGTGTTGGTCTGCTACAGGTATATAATTATCTAGGCAAAACCAAAGTGTGATTGTCAATGTCCTCGCAATATATTTGACATTGTTTTACATTTTGATATCAATTATATTATCTTTCTTTTGCTGGTGATTTTTAGTTTAAGAACTAACCAAATACAATCTGAGTTAAATCAGTCAATATTAAGAAGTATTTCAAAATATAAATTAGGTCTATAAACCTGGTCATTTTTTTTTAAACTTGTAAATTCTAATCAGTGTTGAATTGTGTTGTGTCGCTTCCATATTTTTATTGATGACTTATTTATATACATATCTTACTATAAGTGACTTATATATATACATATCTCACTATAAGTGACTTATATATATACATATCTCACTATAAATGGACTTAACTAAATATTTTGTAGGTCCTATAAGTCCACTAATTAGTATGGATCCAAATGATATAGTGTAAATTAGGGTATTGTAAGAACACAAAATAAGAATTCTGTATATCAATTAACTTACAAAAAATGATGAGAATGGCTAACAGTCTCCAGAGTACCGCCATGATTGAGTATAAACCTGTAACAGATAACAAAAAATGGTAAAAATGGCTAACACTCTCCAGGGTACTGCCATGATTAAGTGTAATCCTGGATAACAATAAATGGTGAGAATGGCTAACACTCTCCAGAGTACCGCCATGATTGAGTATAAACCTGTAACAGATTACAAAAAATGGTGAGAATGGCTAACACTCTCCAGGGTACTGCCATGATTAAATGTAATCCTGGATAACAAAAAATGGTGAGAATGGCTAACACCCTCCAGGGTACTGCCATGATTAAGTGTAATCCTGGATAACAATAAATGGTGTGAATGGCTAACACTCTCCAGAGTACTGCCATGATTGAGTATAAACCTTTAACAGATAACAAAAAATGGTGAGAATGGCTAACACTCTCCAGGGTACTGCCATGATTAAATGTAATCCTGGATAACAAAAAATGGTGAGAATGGCTAACACTCTCCAGGGTACTGCCATGATTGAGTGTAAACCTAGATAACAATAAATGGTGAGAATGGCTAACACTCTCCAGAGTACCACCATGATTGAGTGTAAACCTAGATAACAATAAATGGTGAGAATGGTTAACACTCTCCAGAGTACCACCATGATTGAGTATAAACCTAGATAACAATAAATGGTGAGAACGGCTAACACTCTCCAGGGTACTGCCATGATTGAGTGTAAACCTAGATAACAATAAATGGTGAGAATGGCTAACACTCTCCAGGGTACTGCCATGATTGAGTGTAAACTTTAACAGATAACAATAAATGGTAAGAACGGCTAACACTCTCCAGGGTACTGCCATGATTAAGTGTAAACTGTAACAGATGACAATAAATGGTGAGAATGGCTAACACTCTCCAGGGCACTGCCATGATTAAGTGTAAACTGTAACAGATAACAATAAATGGTGAGAATGTCTAACACTCTCCAGGGTACTGCCATGATTAATTGCAAACTGTAACAGATAACAATAAATGGTGAGAATGGCTAACACTCTCCAGGGCACTGCCATGATTAAGTGTAAACTGTAACAGATAACAAAAAAATGGTGGGAATGGCTAACACTCCCCAGGGTACTGCCATGATTGAGTGTAAACTTTAACAGATAACAATAAATGGGGAGAATGGCTATAACACTCTCCAGGGTACTGCCATGATTGAGTGTAAGTTGTAACAGATTATTATAAATGGTTGGAATGGCTAACACTCTCCAGCTGGGTATAGCCATGATTGAGTGTAAACCGGTAACAGATGATAATAAAATTTAATTGTGAGAATGGCTAACACTCTCCAGGGTACTGCCATGCATGATTGAGTGTAAACCTATAACAGAAAACAATAAATGGTGAAAATGGCTAACACTTTCTCCAGTGTCCCCCACTACACAGATATTCACACTTCCGGTAAGGGAAAAATATATTGGTCTGAAATTACCCCAGGGTTTAAAGACGGGGCGATTCCTGTTATAACAATTGCATGAGGTCACGTCAACAATGCATTGATGTCATGACAACAATGCAATATGACGTCACATCAAAAATAGCTGGTCACGGAGGATAACTTTGACTTGCTCAAAACAGAGACGTATATAACATAAATGGCTTTATACATCTCTGCTCAAAATAATAAAATAAATATTTGCTATTCATGAAATTACCACTGGTATATTTGCATGGTGTGGGAGAAGAATTTTAATCAGTAATTATTTTAGTCTCTGCTTAATTTAGAAGTAAGAGAGAAAAATGTCATGCATCGACAAAGCCTTGGTCTAGATACTAAGGAATCTTACCCCTCGGGATGAGATTTTTCTTTCTTACAACCAAGATTGGGAAAGATAATATTAGTCCAGGGTAAGAGAAGAGATTACATTCATGCCCTTTGAAAAAATCCAAGAATTATCAAGGATTTTCTTCCATAATGACATTCTGTTTGGAGGAAAAGAATTGCATTCCTAAGGAAAACTGAGTGTGGAAAGACACTTACAATAGCTAGTTTTCGTCTGCTAATTTGATAAAATTATAAGGAACAGAGTTTTAGACATGGCTAATCCGTTAATGTTTACATAGACATAATTTATAGTTTAAATTGATTAAAAACAGAATTATCATTACGATGTAGTAAATGCCATGCCATAGCGTGTGCACCTTTCTTGTAAACTCTGGTAGGTTAGCAAGTATCGTTAACATCAGTGCTGGTTGTCTACGCTACGATCCACTTATATATAATTACTGACCCAGGCCTAAAGCATACCGTAGTTCACTAGCTGGGCCTAGGCTACCCTCCGACTAAAGTGTATCAGCAGATCGATCGGTCTCATTTGACTTTATCTGTTTATCATGTATACATATAAGCCTATATATGCAACTCGCTAAAAACGATTGTCACGGTAGATATCACATGTATTGGACAGCAAACATACCTTGTCACGCCTCACGCATTTATGTGTTTGTTTTCAAACGCTTTGAGCTTTAGCTTGTATCACATGCGTACAGTTAAAACATTCAAGTGACAAGATGGCAGACAACATATCGAATGTGAAAGTAGGCAGGGAAGGCCTACTGAAGAAATTAGAGGAATGGGGCATCGAAAGCACGACCATTGAACATCCAGAGGTATACAGTAACAAAATCACATCAGGCTTTTGTCTAATGCGTGGGGAAAGCCTACAGTTTGTGTTGTACGAGGCACGTTATGATTGCATAGACAACCCGAGGCAAGGGAGATAACTTGGAAAACTTGTTCATTCACAGGAGTCCAAAAGATATTCTGTAGTCACCTCAAATTTCAACCCCCCTGATAAGTCATGTTCAAAGACCTCAATAAAAAATCGGAACTTATATATGTTATTTGTGTATATTGAACTTGTAGTCATTGGCTATACTGAAAATACAGAGCCAGTTTAACCTATGCAGTCAAAAATCATTAAGGCTGCATGATCATGATGTCTTCATAAAAATAGCTCACTGGACTTATAACATGTCAATCTCTTTTGCGATCCAACTGAGTGCTGAGAAATGACCTATAGATTAAAGTTTATTTATATACCTAGGTCATGAAGAGCTTTATTTCTCTTCTACTAGCTCAGTTGAGTGGAATTCCGACCTCAAATTGTTGCCATGCTAAACCACTAAAATCATAGTAAAATCCACTGGTAATACATTTTAGCAATTAATAAATAAGAAAACAAAGGCTAAGTAACCTTGATCGATAAATGAACTTTAGATGATGTGCCATTTGATAACATTCTGCGATTATATGAATGCGCTAGACATGTTATTAACATCGAAGCGGAAAAGTACAATAATGTTTATAACAAGTCTAGCTCTTTTATAAAAACATTGAATGTTAAGAAAGGACGTTTTATATGAAGTTTAAGTAGTGTTTATGGTCAAAGGTCTATGGTTAAACACATACATGTATATACCGGTAAAATATGTTATGCAGACGTTTTACTATGATTTTTGTACTTTCCCATAGCAACAATCATCGTCTTGTGAGGCCGTATATTTATTTAACCTCTCCACACATAGTTAACGAGAAATAAAGCCCCTTATGACCCAGGTATATAAATGATCTTCAAATTACATGTCATTTCGTAACACTCAGTTGGGTCGCTTAAGAGATTTACATTGTTAAAAATCTTGTGAGCAAACTTTTATAATTACATCAGCCTTAATGTCATATTGTGAATTCGTTAACCTGGTTATGTACCTTTTTAATAGCTCATGTACAAGTTCAATATATTTAAATTACAGATATATATTCCTATTTTTGATAAGGGTATTTGAATATGACTTGCCAGGGGGTTGAAATTTAGGGTGACTATTACATCTTTTAGGGGGCTTGTTGAACCTTAAATTTTTGCGTGTATAGATTTAAGTTATATAACATAATTAGAGGGCTATTTTAAAAACATGTGATTAGTGTGGTTCATCCACATCAATTAAATGGATATTGTGTTGTTGAAAACACACTTTTTAGTTGAAGGACATGCATGCATACAGTTGTTATATGTAAGTGAAAACAAAATTCAAAATGTGATTTTTGAGAACTATATATATCAAAATATCTACAAATATTTTTGCATTTATCCTCATAGGTACAACCTTCGATTTGAATTTCAATCCATTGAAAATGTCACAGGGATGATAATTGATGTATTTCGTCTGTATATAATGTGTCTGTCAGATATGTCAGAGCTATATATAGGTAATAGTGGAACTGGACTGGGTCGATCGCTGGCGACCAGGTAGCTCATGCCATCAATTGGTTAGAATGTCCACCTAGAGTCTGGAGGGTCCCGGTCATGCATTTTTCCACCTCCTGTTACATTTATAGGTGTACCCAGGTGTGAGCTAGTGCACATGTTCCCTGTTTATAGAACAAATATTGGAATATATGTTGTGTAACTGTTATGTGGGTGAGAAATGCAAGGTGATTCAATGAGAATGTTCTATTTAGCAGTTGCATTGTGTTTATACTCCAGCGCATTCATTGATACAATGTACTGTTGGTGGACAGACGTACCTGGGTGATGGCCACACTATTGATGGGGTATGGGAGCATATAGATATAGCCGGTTGTTTTCCTGTCTCGTAAAGTAAATGTGTTAAAGAAAAGAAAAATACTGTCTTCCTAATTTATGTTTGAACTAGGACCTGTGACATTTGGTGCCCAACGCTCTACCAAATAGGTAAAGAGGGGAGCCTGTTACACCCTGCCACTATGGGTCCCCCAGACCCCCTTAACAGGGCTTCACACTTTTGATCAGATCAATGAGCGAGGTTTAGACCCGGCTGTTACACCCTGCCACTATGGGCCCCAGACCCCTTAACACTCGGGCTTATTTTGCACTCGTGATCAGATCAATGAGTGAGGTCTAGACCCACACATATAGCCTCCTTTTTACCATCAATCTATTTCAGGCCACAAACCAATATCAAAATTGAACTGCAACATATACTGACTATGTATTTCTCTTTTTTGTGGTTTGATATTCTTAAATTACAAAGTTACACATTTTAGCGGGGGAAAATATTACTATTTAGTTTGTGAAAATTAGAGCCAAAAGTCTGTGCACCCACTTTTAAGAGTTGGTTACTTAATACACTGCGATACATCATAATAATTGATAAGTGAGGTGTTGTTTGAAAATTTGTTTCGAGTGCAAGATACAGCTTTTTGTTATGGAATGGATCTAGAATTTCTATAGATACATGTACATGTACATGTATAAGAACTGCATGCTGAACCATATAGACAGTAGAACGATAATAGAGTTTGATCAATATGAGACAGAATGTGTAGAATGTTAAGCAACCTTTAAGATCTTTTCTGTGTGGGATAAAGGATTTTTTTAATCAAATATTATACTAAGAAATTAGGCGTGTTCAACAAATGGAATATTGATGCCAATAAGTGTGAGAATTTGATCATTGTGTGGTTTTTATTTTTGACAAAAGAACATGCATACAGTTTTAGATTTAGAGACTTTGAAGCCGTTTTCATCTGCCCACATTTGTACTTAAACATTGTTGAGGTTGCCTTTCTGTTGCATGCATGTTAACGTTCATTTTTCAGCTCACCTGGCCCTTTAACAGGAAGGGGCTACATGGGTAAAATATTGAAAGAATTTTATTACAAAAGTTTGTCTGTTGTCATCTAGTATTTATTTTGCACTATAAATAAACATTAATAGTAATAACCCTGTTCAGTATAATATAAGGTAAGACCATGCAGATAAATCACTCAGATTATACCTGATTGCTTATCTGTAGGGTCTCTGAATCAAAGGTCAAGGTTAACTGTTTCTTAAATAAAAAAAAGGTTTTTTCTTGACTACTTGTTGATAAAAAAATATTTCCAAAGTTTTCCTTCAAGGAAGATTCAGCCAAAACAATAAAAATGTATTTCTGTCAGCAGTTAACTTATTGACACTTATGCAATCCAAGGTGAAATTTGAGATAAAATATTTCATTATGGTGCATCAATATGGGATCCCCTAGCTGGTACTTTTCATTAAATGTGCGATCAATTAGATTTAACATTACCCAGAACATGTTTTATTTGTATCCAGGTTTTTACAGTAGAACAGGCACTAACACTACATGTTTTATTTGTATCCAGGTTTTTACAGAAGAACAGGCACTAACACTACATGTTTTATTTGTATCCAGGTGTTTACAGTAGAACAGGCACTAACACTACATGTTTTATTTATATCCAGGTGTTTACAGTAGAACAGGCACTAACACTTTATGTTTTATTTGTATCCAGGTTTTTACAGAAAAACAGGCACTAACACTACATGTTTTATTTATATCCAGGTTTTTACAGTAGAACAGGCACTAACATTACATGTTTTATTTGTATCCAGGTTTTTACAGTAGAACAGGCACTAACATTACATGTTTTATTTGTATCCAGGTTTTTACAGTAGAACAGGCACTAACATTACATGTTTTATTTGTATCCAGGTTTTTACAGTAAAACAGGCACTAACACTACATGTTTTATTTGTATCCTGGTTTTTACAGTAGCAGGCACTAACATTACATGTTTTATTTGTATCCAGGTTTTTACAGTAAAACAGGCACTAACACTACATGTTTTATTTGTATCCAGGTTTTTACACTATAACAGGCACTAACACTACATGTTTTATTTGTATCCACGTTTTTACAGTAGAACAGGCACTAACACTACATGTTTTATTTATATCCAGGTTTTTACAGTAGAACAGGCACTAACACTACATGTTTTATTTGTATCCACGTTTTTACAGTAGAACAGGCACTAACACTACATGCTTTATTTGTATCCAGGTTTTTACAGTAGAACATGCACTAACACTACATGTTTTATTTGTATCCTGGTTTTTACAGTAGCAGGCACTAACATTACATGTTTTATTTGTATCCAGGTTTTTAAAGTAGAACAGGCACTAACACTACATGTTTTATTTGTAACCAGGTTTTTACAGTAGAACAGGCACTAACACTATATGTTTTATTTGTATCCAGGTTTTTACAGAAGAACAGGCACTAACACTACATGTTATATTTGTATCCAGGTTTTTGCAGTAGAACAGGCACTAACACTACATGTTTTATTTATATCCAGGTTTTTACAGTAGAACAGGCACTAACACTACATGTTATATTTGTATACAGGTTTTTGCAGTAGAACAGGCACTAACACTACATGTTTTATTTGTATCCGGGTTTTTACAGTAGAACAGGCACTAACACTACATGTTTTATTTGTACCCAGGTTTTTACAGTAGAACAGGCACTAACACTCCATGTTTTATTTGTATCCAGGTTTTTACAGTAGAACAGGCACTAATATAACACTACATGTTTTATTTGTATCCACGTTTTTACAGAAGAACAGGCACTAACACTACATGTTATATTTGTATCCAGGTTTTTACAGTAGAACAGGCACTAACACTACATGTTTTATTTGTATCCAGGTTTTTACAGTAGAACAGGCACTTCCCCACATTTCTCACCTTGAAGGGATGTTTGCCAAGAATTTGTTTCTGCGGAGTAAAAAGAAGACACTGTATCTGTTTTGTGCCCCCCACAATGCCGACATTAAACTGAATGACCTTGCTAAGCTATGTGGTGTCTCAGGAGGACTACGTTTTGCAGATGAGTGTGTGTTAGTGGAAAAGCTAGGACTACGACAGGGCGCTGTAACCTTGTTTGGACTTATCAATGACCAGGCTAAGGATGTGACACTAGTGTTGGACCGACGGGTCCTAGATGGCACATTTACTAAGATTTACTTTCACCCTATGGTGAATTCTGCCTCTACTGCCATCTCTCCAGCAGGCATACAGGCCTTCCTCGAACAGACAGGACACCAACCGCTCATTGTAGATCTAAAAACCTCTGAAGAATCCCAAAACTGATTTCAATTCATTTTAGTTTATACAATTCATTTGGAAATAACTTTTTCATACCAACTTCATACCTTTTTTTTGTGCACTTGTGTTTTAAAACCTTTCATTATTAATTCATGACACCAATCTGATCATATGCCAGGATAAAAAAAAAATCAGAGTCCGGATAATTGCTGAAATGATTTAGACTGCTAAAATGACAAAGCAATTATTTCTGAAGAGGAAAAGAGCATTTTATCAACTTTCTTTTTATATATGCACTGTATATGCTTATTATTTCTACATTTCATGTTATAAAGTTCTGATAAACTAAATAATTATGTACTTGTATAGAAGTTCATATACATGTAGCACACCCATTAATTGATAATGTGTGACGTTTTGATGATGTACTCTGTCACCTTCATCAGACAAATGACTGGGGGAGGGTATGTAAACAAAGATGTTAAATAAATACCAGTTGGCAACAATTTTGTTATGTTTACACATCAAGAAATAGGAGACAAATCTATATTAGCTGATAAGGGCAAAGCAATAGTGGTCGTAGGCATAGACAATCATGAGGGCCGTGACTACAGGACAACAAGACATATACATAGCTTCAGGCCAATCCAACTCAAAAGTTGAAAAGGCACCTCATAGCCATCCTCTCCAAATCCATACTAAGAGAACCAGATTACTGAATCCTGATACAGGTATCTGTATTCCACTACAGAAAACACCCCTAAAATGTACTGTAAACACACCAATGATTCATAAATGGGAAACCACTAAGACCAATTGTGGACTGTACTGGGTCTATTAGTTAAAATGTTCCCACGTCGTTAGCAGACATTTTTAGACCATGTCAAGAACTGTTTCCAAGATACCATCTATTAGCAACTCTATGGCACTGCTATGGGTAGTTCAGTGTCTCCCATTGTGGCCAATTCATTCAAGGAACACCTGTGGCTGAAGCAAGAAGCAATACTGCCACTGCCCCCATGGTTTGGTTTGGTTTTATAGGGTTAAACGTACTACTAACAGCTAGGGTCATTGAAGGAAGTGCCTCCATGTGTATCATGAATGCGTGCATGTGTGTATGTGTGCCGGAGACAGGGTATGTTGGTGTACTTGCCTCCTTGTGAGAGCGCGGATCTGATGCCGACTTTATATATAGTGCTATCTCACTGAAATACTATGCCAACTTTATAGTGCTATCTCACTGAGATACCATGCCGAAGGCCCCCAGCACTGCATTCCACCCAGTCACATTATACTGACAACGGATGAACAAGTTGTTGCCATTACCCTTAATGCTGAACGTTTAAGCAAGGAATAACAACTAAGTACCTTTTTTAAGGATTCTGGTATGTCCCGGCCTGGGACAGAACCCATCGTCTTCATCCCTTGGGCAAACGCTCAACATTAAAGCCAGAGGTGAGGTGTCACCAAGCAAGGCACTATGAAATAAAAGGTATTAGAAGTAGAGAGGAATATAAAGATCCCAAATCTTGCAATGGGTGCAGCAGATTTGTTGCTCGAAGCAAATCCACGATTCTGCAGGGGTTCCGGCATTAGTCGCCTCTTACGAAACGTGCAGTGGGTATCGGCAGGTATACACATCGGTACTAGGGATAACTAAGAAATGGTCACAGTAGTATAGGCAGCGATATGGGGGGTGGTGGTGTTGCCATTTGTGATGTGGATATTGGGGGGGGGGTTGTACTGAATGACCTCTGTTGATGCATAATGACGTGATTAACATGTGCCGTCACAATGGTTTTCTGGCGGGGTTGTCTGGACTGTGGGAGCAGTAACATCTTGATGGTGTTGAGAGTATTTAAACAGTAATGATTCAAAAAATAGTTAGAATTGTGATGAAATACGTTTAAAAGTAATGAAAATACCTGATAATTGTTGCTATAATCGTAGCCTACGCCCTACCCGAACATAGCTACAATGTCTATTTTATTCGCTGCCAGAACTTTTTCTGCTGAAGTTATTGAACAATTTCTAGGTATTCTTTAGCTTAAAAACAGTAATGATTCCAAATATTTAGAATTGTGATGAAATAGGTTTAAAAGTAAAGAAAATACCTAATAATCGTTGCTAATCATAGCCTACGCCCTACCCGAGCATAGTTATAATGTTTAGTTTATTTGCTGCCGGAACTTTTTCTGAAATTATTAAACAATTTCTAGCTTTAAAACAGTAATAATTCAAGAAATAGTTAGAATTGTCATGAAATACATTCAAAAGTAAGTGTACGATATCTAGCTTACGGGTTGGTTTTGATGACGTCATCAAGTTTTTGCAGGACTGTAATGTGTAGTTGATGGGTTGGTTTTGATGACGTCATCAAGTTTTTGCATGACTAGAGTGTAGTTGACGGGTTGGTTTTGACGACGTCATCAAGTTTTTGCATGACTGTAGAGTGTAGTTGACAGGTTGGTTTTTATGACGTCATCAAGTTTAAGCATGTTTATGATGACGTCACAGTGAGATGATGTCTACTTTAGAATTCCTGTGCGAGAGCATTATTGTAGGTGGGGATTTCCTAGAAAATACCTGATAATCATTGCTTATCATAGCCTCCATCGTCCTTCGAGGCCTGTTGTCATGTCAACTATCCGTTAGTGTGAAGTCTTAACCGGAAGTACAAACTAGTTAAGGACTCGCACAACTAAATCAGCCAATCAGCAAGTGTTTCGTTCCTATCTGAAATAAGTTCCGGCTAATTACTGGGCCACTGAAGGAGTTTAATAAGGAACTGATGACAGATTATTAGATAATTGAAATGTTCAGGTATTTAACTTTTGAAAAATATATACTTTTGATATATTTCCATGTCTGTGTGCGGATTTGCACAGGGGCAAAATGTCTGGGGGCGTTTCTATTTTGGGTCACCGGTTTTGCTTGTAAACTTCCGGTTGTCAACTTCTTGGCGCTGTGACACTCCAATATGCCACTAAACCTACCAAAAAAGTCATTTTGTAGCCTTTGCAAGGTATATATATATATGTATTTATGAATCTAGACAGTTGTCACTAGTTTTGAACTTCAAAAATTAAAGTTATTAGCTAAAATGTTTGGTAATAACATATAGTAAATGATTTAGTTGTGTGAGTCCTTTAAACGAAATTGTAAAGACAGCAAAATATCCGGAAACAAACATATTGTAACGTGTGCGGGGTCTGCCTCAGTTGGTAGCGTTGGCAGAACNTATTTGTATCTTTTCCCACAGGCATCGCAAGAGTACTGGAGCAGGCGGTTAAGTTCCTCCCGGCTGTGTGGGCTCCTGGCACCTTTCTTGTTGGGCATGTTGGCAGAATGGTACCGGAATCTCAAAATACCAAGGCTTATATACCTGTTTTCCCGCCAAATATTCAAATAGCACGTGCAGGGCGAACTTTAAATTGATGACACAGCACAAATGTCAACGGTCAATCAACGTACGTGACAACAAGCAGAGTGGTCGTTTCACTACTAATGAGACTTCCGCCACCCGAAAACATCAAAGAGAGCATGTCCCCTTTGATCTTACAATTGAAATGTATGGAAGCTGCGTGGCGCCTCTGGGTATGGAGCTCCCTTGGCGCTAACCTCCGTGAACTGTGGAGAACATGTACTGCGAAACAGAACATAGTTGTCAAACCGACCTGGTTTTCGACGTCTCCTCCCGAATTGACTTTCCTGCGTCATCGGGGGCACTATTTCCGTTTCATCCTCAGCCACGCTACCCTCAAGTTCTGTTGCCTGATCCGTGGCAGCCTGAGTTCCCTCCTCTCGTTTATCGGTCAGGAAGGGTGCGGAACAATCATCCCCGTCCAAGCTATCAGGACGCTTCTTCAAAAGTCTGAGCCGGTCATGATGAACAATATCAAAATGGTTGGGGGGTTTCTTTACCCGGTAAGTAACAGAGTCAATTGCCTCCACTACCTCGTACCCTTCTTTCCAGCAGGACTGCAACTTTGGCGAGAGACCGACAGTCTTACGCCCAGTGTAGACCAAGACGCGGTCACCAGGCTGATATGACATTGCCTTTGTACGTGTGTCATATTGTTTCTTCTGTCTTCTCAAACTCTCGCCTAAGTGTTGCCGTGCAATCTCATGAGCCTCTTCTATACCAGTTTGTAGCTCCTGGACCCACTGAGTAGTTCCCGAAGGAAATTCCTGAGAAACACTACCCATGGTCAGATGGACAGGAAGCGCTACCTCCCTCCCCAGCATCATACGGTTGGGGGAAAACCCTGTGGACTCATGTTCAGCGGCTCTGTACGCCATGAGTAATAGAGGAAGGCGAAGGTCCCAATCCTTCTGATCCTCGGCGATATACGCTGAGAGCATCCCCTCCATGGTGCGGTTAAATCGCTCTATAAAACCGTTGGACTGGGCGTGATAAGCAGTTGTTCTTGTTTTATGGACACCCAATAACTGGCACATCTCCCTGAAAACTCTGCTCTCAAATTGACGCCCCCTATCAGAGTGGAGGATGCGAGGCACCCCAAACCTTGACACATAAACGTCCACCAGAGCGTGTGCACATGTCACAGCTTCTGCGTTAGGTAGAGCTACCGCCTCCATCCATTTGGTGAAATGGTCCCCTATAACAAGGACATAGATGTTGCCCCGGTCAGTTCTTGGAAACGGTCCAACCAAATCCAGAGCGACCCGTTCTCCTGGGCCCCCAGCAGCGCTATTCTGAAGTGGGGCCCTGGGTTTCTGGCCATATCTTTTGTGCTTGGCACATGACTCGCAGCTTGCACACCACAATCTGACATCTTTCTGAAGTCCAGGCCAATAATACGCCGATCTGATTTTAGCAATGGTCTTGTAGACTCCAAGGTGGCCTCCGGTTGGTTTCTCGTGGCACTCCCGTAATACCTCACTCTTACGTGTCTTGGGCACAACCACCAGGTGACGGTCCAATTTTCCACTGTGAAGGAACCAGCGCCGGCATAGCAGACCATCCTTTAGTTCTAACCTGTCAAGCTGCCCCCAGAGCGTTTTTATAACTGGACTGCACGCAGAAATTTCCTTGTATGCTGGTTTCTTGCCATACCTAACCCAGTCACAAACTTGGTTCAGGTCTGGGTCCTCCTCCTGACTCTGTTGAAGCTTGTGGGTACTGGCCTCAAACTGGACTGCTCGTGCTCTCAGTCGGTCTTTTCCCCGACCGCACTGCTTACATGGAATTCGAGACATCGCGTCGGCATTCTGGTGTTGGCGACCCGGCCGATGTTTGACTTCAAACTTGAAGGTTGACAGAACCTCTAGCCATCTGGCGAGTTGGCCTTCGGGTTCCTTGAAGTTGGTTAACCAAACCAACGATCCATGGTCGGTCCTCAGTAAGAACTTTCTACCTAGGAGGTAGTGCTTTAGCTGCTTGCAGGCATAGACAACTGCCAAGAGCTCTCTGCGGGTGACACAGTATCGCCGTTCAGTCTTACTCAGGGAACGGCTGATGTAGGCAACTACCCGTTCTTTGTCTCCATACTTCTGTGACAGGACGGCTCCGATGCCAGTCCCACTAGCATCGGTATCCAGAATGAAAGGCAGGTCTGGCCGGGGCAGGACAAGTACTGGAGATGTGGTAAGATGGTGCTTTAGTTGGTCAAAAGCAGCCTGGCAATCCTCCGTCCAAACAAACGGCCTATCCTTTTCCGTCAGCTTATGTAATGGCGCAGCCGTGGTAGAGAAATCTTTTACGAACCGCCGATAGTACCCGCAAAGGCCTAAGAAACTCCTGACATCGGTCTGGTTGCTTGGTTCCGGCCACTCGCGAACAGCTTTAATCTTCTCTGAGTCGGTTGCTACTCCCTGTCCAGAGATGACATGGCCCAGAAAACCAACCTCCCTGGCAAACAGGTGGCACTTCTTAGGCTTCAACCTCAGTCCAGCATCGAGAAGTCGTTGGAATACCTCCTCTGTGCGGTCCGCCAGCTGGTCGAACGTGGAACCAAATATGATGATGTCGTCAAGGTACACCAGGCAGATTTCGTACTGCAAACCAGCTAGGACGGACTCCATAAGTCTTTCGAACGTCGCTGGGGCGTTGCACAGG